TCATTCTGTTCTCATTGACTCTAAAGGTCTAATTTCTTAAATTTGAGAATCTCTAGGTCCTTCTGCCTCTATTACTTAAAATAGCATGAGGTCAAATAGTATTAAAATATATTTTTCTGAATCAATAGCATTAATTGTACATCTCTGTTAAATATCACAGTATGTATATGGACTAAGCATGGGATGAAGCATTTCCATTTAAAATTTCCAATTCAAAACAACAGACAATGCTGTCTGAAAAATGTGAGTGACATGAGGAAAAAAGTGATGGCACATTTTTGGCGACCAGCTGAAGCTGTATTTTATTTTTTATTTTATTTATATGAAGTTGTGCTGGACAGCACCTTTTTTATTTTTTTTTCTTTGTGGAGGAACTAATTCTAGTTTTTCAATAACCTTGATGTCTAGACTGTTTTAAAATTTTAATCCATCACATTCCTTGCATTGCCCTCAAACTCTTTCCCAACCCAGCTGTGGACTTAGTGCACTTGACAAAAGATGTACACTGAGGTAGGAAGACCTTCAGTACTTTTTTGCAGGTGGGAAATTTTCCTGACAAAAAATGTGGTAATGTTTTTTAACGCAGAGTTGGTAACAAGCTTGGGACAGATCGATCAGCGGGAAAGAGGGAATACATGAGACTAAATGCTCTCTCTCTCTGTTCCCTTTCCCCTGCTCCTGTATTACTGTCATGCTTGATCCTGGCCAAGTGCATGGGCATAAGACCTTCTCATTAATATTAGGGCTGCATCAGCACCAGTAGCTGAGACCTTTCCTCTTCAAAAAACAGCAGCAAAGTGAGGAGATTTTTCAGTTTTTTCTTACCTTGCCACCAGGGCCCACTGGAGCAGGCATGGGTAGAGGAAGCCAAATCGAACATTGGGCTGTAGATACAAAAACTTCTGGGATGTAACCCTTCTGTGCAAAGTGCAGCAGCTGTGAAGGGCTTCTCAGTCCAAAGGACAATAAAGAAGTAAGGAACCAAAGCCCATCTGCATTGAAGGGATAGCTTTACATTCGGAGGATTAGTCATAGAGCTTGCCACACAGATACTGTCACTTCCCCAGATACCAGGTCCTACTTGTCATTCACTACCCCCACAGTGAGACCATTTGGGCTTTCCATCTCCCCCACCCCCCCTACAAAATGTGGAGATTTTTTGCAGCTTCTGTGAGGCAATGTCCACAGATGCCACTTCCTCCTTTCGAGGAGGAACTTGCTATCACAACTGCCCCTGCATGAAGCAGGCATTTACTCTCAGGTCCCCAGGTGCTCAGCTGCCTGATGGCTTCTGACAACCAGGGCATGCCCTCGTCCTTCCTCCTCTCCCCACCATACACACGCACTGACCCATTCCCTAAGACCACTACCCTTCAGTAAATACTAGGGTGCACTTCTTGTGGCCAAATCCACACCTGAGCCCTGCTACAGGCACGTCCCCATGTTGTTTTTGCAGAGGTGCAGCCTCACACTGCTTGTGCTGTACTGGAGCTGGTGAGCCCAAGGAGCAGAGGACACTTTGGCACTCCACCATGCTCTGCAGCTGGGCAGCTCCTGCTTAGCAGCAGTAGCAGGAGACTGAATTTTGAAAAAGGGGAAGGCTGATGTCCGAACAAATCTGCTACAGAAGCCTTCTATCAAAGCTGACAAATACTTGCTAAATGTGTTAATTGTCCATGGTACATAATTTCTACCCTTCTAAGTGTCTGGTGGAACTCCTCCCAGCCGCGATGTAGCTCTGCTGTCCAGCAGTGTGAAAAGAACTGGTAGAATTTGACCACACAGGATGTGTTTCAAACACTGCTGCCATGTGCTGCTGGAGATCCTCCATCACTCTCACACCAAATACAGACAAAAGATTCACAAGGGCAATGAGTCAGCACGCCAGACCCCATCCCACAGTGAGTCAAGATCAATTTAGAGCCTCTGGCCTCTGCAGCACTGCATCTAACTGCTTCTCCTTTATTTGAGAAAGTTCTCTGCTGCCCCCTCTCCAAGGTGAAAATGTAGAATGGATTTGCCTGTTACAGCATATGGAGGAAATACACCAGATTGGAAAGAATACGGAAGTGTTTTTTCCAAAGATTTATGGAGGAGAGGGACTACCTCTTTCATTTCCCTCATCCTTAAGGAGTGATGATCAAAATCAAACATACCATATTTGGTGAGTAAATCACTATAGAAAAAACAAGAAGAATGAGCGCTTTTTTTTTTTTTCATTATCTCAGCTAGCAGCAAAGCCAGTTTTACTTCTGTTAGTAATGATGGCTTGTACCCAAGCTTTCCAGAGAAACTACCTGCTGTAGCAAGATTTGAAAGAATGGTTTCTTTGTGAAGTATCTGGCAAGGGGAAAAGATCTGAAAACAGGAATCATAAAAGAAAACTAATTTCAGTCCTAATGTTTTTTTTTGAAGGCCATAAGCATCTAATCTTTCTAAGAGTATCATCAAAATCAAATCCATTACATTAGTTAAAATATTGTAAAGCCAAATTCATCTGTAAATGAATTCCAGTTTCTGAGTTCTGCAATTTAAGACAAGTCCTCTCTCAAATGTTTTGTGAGACCCACAATAAATGTTAAATAGGAACCAGTGAGAATATTAATATACAGAGTACTGCCAAATACTAGGTTAAATAAAATTAATAGCAGTACTAAAGTAATTTTAAAAACACACATCTCACCTTGCAGGAGTTTTTTTAATTGCCATTTCTGTGAGAAGTATAATTTCAAAAACATAGTCATGTTTTAGCAATTATTAGTATCCATAAAATTTTCTTGATACAACTTCTAGCAAAGCATTACAGGAATTCCAAGGATATTAAGAATAGGAATTTCATAAGAGTGTTTGTCATTTATTTTGAACAAATGGAACCTTGCTTAAAACAGGAGAAAAAAAAATTAAAAAGGGAGGGGGCAGGGGACCAAGAAGCCTTTAATAAAAACATAAATTAAATATCAAACTCTAAGGAAATTACATTTCCATTAATTTCCCAAGTATTTACTTTAATCTCTTTCTTACTGGTTGGGAGTCAACAATTTCTAATCCTTTAGTGCTTCTCTGCTAAACAGCTACCAGACAGCAAGAGTCCCAAATGAAGGCTTGCCCACAACTCAAACACATCTGCAACATCATCTGTAGCTCTTCCACAAGACCACTACTCCCCCTCTAGACAGCAGGGATCTTCAAGCCTGAGCACAGACATTTGGATGGACTGCAGCAGTGGTTCTTTGGGAACAGAAAACTTGGTAGCTCAGCAACATTTCCAGGATGAAACAGCCTCACATGAGCTGGAGACACCACATGAGCAATAAAAGAAGGAAGAGACACCACGCCAAGGACTTTCTATTTGTCAGGAATGTGATTATTGATAGAAAAGGGCACACAGGGGCAAAACCCCTCCACAGCTTCAGAAAAGGTATTTGTTTTCTGTAAAACTGGGAGATGACCTACAAGGTATTCTTATTTTCATAGTGCTTCAGGCTCACCCAGGGGATGAGAGGCAGTAACCTCATGCTCTGACACCGTATCAGTGCCCCTGGATATTTATATAGATCCAGGTCTATAGTAGCAGAACTGCATTAGTTTTCCTCTTGTTTTGGAGGCAGAACATTCCTGTTACGCCGGTTTTACAGATGAGGATACCAGACCTGCTCCAATTTCACTGGGAAAATGTGGCAAGACCCCAGCACACTTGATCAGCCTGTCACACCCTGCAGCTGCTTCAAGCATCCACAACAGGGGTGAATGAGCAGCTCTCGCTGGGCAGGTGCAGGTCAGCCCTGGAGGGTACACACAGTGAATCAGATGCAATTAGGACAAATGAATGAGAGGTGTTAGAGGTGCCTCAGGCTTCCTGTGGATGCAAAAGACACCTGATCTGTGAAGACACATTGCCATTTTTCCAGGGAGGTTGGTGGCAGGTAACACATCCTCCAAATGTCCCAAAATAGCCTTGTATCACCATAGTCAAGAGAACCTGGGAGGCTAGAGCCAAAATAGAGACAGTAGCCACTCCCTGGGACACATTGTGCCCCGCCGACTTGTACCTTATTCTTAGAGCATCTGTCCTTGTCTTTTGAGCACAGGTCTGAACCTTGGTCACATTACAAAAAGAGCTGTTCTGAGCAATCCCTTTGACACAAACTCCAGGGCTGATTTTGACTCGACTTGGGTGAACTTCAGAGCTTTTGAATATTTATGCAAGTGTTTGAGCTGCCTTTTGAAACTGCTGAACTGAGAAAGAGAGGGAAAAAAATCTCTGTAGCACCTTAATAATGGATCTTTAAGGAATTCAAGCATAAGTACATGATACATAAACTTGAGGCAACCTTTCTCTAGAGATTTCAATTTGCCTGGAAGTGTCCAATAAATAAATTAAAGTAACTTCAAATGAAATCACTTAATTCACTTATATTACCTCTACAAATTTAGAATGAAGGTCCATCGGTTTATCTCCTATTTTCTGTTGTTGCAGTTTCATCAAAAGCTTTTGCTGCCAGGGATCTACTTTAGGATTAATCTGGTTGACATAAAAGTAACCACAAAACTTATGAATATTGCTACATGTTTTTATATGGGAGACAATATATAGTAAAGCAAAAGCAGCACATTCAGTTTGTATTTTCAGCAGATATGAATAGAGATTCTTGACTATACAGAAGCATTGTAGTTTGATGAGGCCTGAATTACGTAAAAAATCATCCCTCCGTTTGTCAGAAGAAACATTTTAGACTTTAAACTTTAGATTCGCTGAAATGTATCTTGGTATATCCTGAACACTAGTTAGGACTAACACAACTGAAAAAGGAAAGTTGCTCATAATTACCTTTAAATAAGGAATCCTGTAGTCTCTCTTTTCCAAAGTCCTGGCTGTATCTAGCATGTCCCAGCTCTTTGACTGAGAAACCTCTGCATCATAAACTAGAAATATTCTCATTGTCTGCTGCTTGCAGAAGATGCTTCTGGAGTTTTACAGAGCCTAGATGTAGGAGGAGATGGTACTGATATAAATTTCCTAAGCTAGATATTAAATCCTAGAGTAAAGCAATAGTGCATATTATTACCCACCCCCAAAAAAAGAGATGAAAATAAGTGGAGTGGTAAAGGGACAAAGCAGACATTCTGGTCCTGTGTTTCTTTTCTTTTCCAGCAGACTCAATGAAACTCCCTGCTGTTATTTCTGGCACCTCCAAATAGAAAACCAGGGTTTTCAAAACCACCATCTTTCATTTAACATCTTTCATATTAACAGAAGTTAATAGGAAATTTCTTTTCAATGGCTTTGGTAAGAAAAACATTAGCACAGAATGTGTACTTTGAAAGTCCTGTTGAAAAACAAAGAAGCCACAAACTAAGCCAGCCTACAATGAAGGCAATGTACATCATTGCCTAGTTGGGTAAACCTGTCTGCCTGAGCTTATCTCTGATAGCTCAAATGCTAATTTGAGGAAAGTCTTACAGACCAGTTTATGCAATCAAACCTTTGTCCTTTTCAGCTGATCACCTGTGCTCATTCAAGGTGCAGTTTGTAAGGCAAGTCATGCATTCAAAAGCAGTCTGTTTTTTCTATTTAACAGCTACCCAGCTCTTTTGAACCCTGGGCACACGGTGGAGATTTTAATTTGGTTTTGCCTTTTGGATGACAATAAAAATGAAACTGAGAGTTTTCCTGCTGGTATCCTGAGAACTGTGGAGGTTGGCAAGTTCCTGGGTGATGGTGTGCTGCAGCCGACCTCTAGTGGAGCTCAGGGAGACACCAAAATAAGGCAGGAAAACTCGAGAAAATGCACAAAAAATGCTAGTGAGAGCTGAGAGAACAAAGGCACATCCTCAAAACCAAGATACTGAAAATATGAATGTGAGCACTTACTAGAGCTTAGTGGGTGTGAATTGAGCCTTTCTGCTGCTTCCTGTCAAGAGCAAAAATAACAGTCTTATTTTCTGTGATGCAAAACACTGACTCGTAATAAATGGAACTTTCTTCCATGCTTTTAAAGACCTTTTTTTCTTTAACTTTTTTATTTTTATTTTTTTTCCTTTACCATTGGGAAGCACATTTCAGTTACCAGGGAAAAGAGGTCAAATCTTATCAGTGAGTTAGTGATATTCTTGAGGTTATAGTCAATATCAGAGTGAGAATGCAGAAGCTGGAACTGAGGTTTCAGCTCCTTGGTTTCAGTTTTGTGCCAGGGCAAAGTGAAGCCATTGTCCTTGTGGTAGGACTCTGCAAAAAACCCATAATCAGACCAGCTGGAAAACATCAACACTTTAAGCAACATGAGTGCAAGATGTCTGAAAGCAATGCTGTCGGTGCCCTTTAATTTTCATCCACACCATGATTGAATTCCCTGAGGTTTTTTTATCCAGAAGCAGAAGTATGTCAGAGAATGGAATATGATGGCAGGGGAAACCCATGTTGTATGGATTTTTATTATTTTCATATCTCTTTTAAGAAAGGACCTTCTTCCAGACCCCAAAAGACAAACAGCTGCTGGAGGTCAAGGCACCTCCACAGTCCTTGGAGGACTGCCTATCCTCTAGGAAAGGACATCAGCTAACAAATCCTTCTGCCTGAACAGAGTCCTGCTCAGGCATGTACAACATTCTTCTCACACACACACACCTCCCGAATCTTCACATACCATGACAACTTAAAGTATGTTACTATTTCAGGGTTATCACTCCTCTGGTATCTGATTCTGACACAATGCTGCTATCACCAGCTTCTGAAACAAGGGTGTCCTGGGGATGGCTGAGTCTGGCCTGATATCAGTGTTGAAGAGTCTGTTGGCATCATAACACACATTTTTAGAAGAAAACTGTTTTCTCCTTCTTCTTTACATCATCTCAGGCTTGCTCAATGCTTTGAAGGATACCGATATGGCTTCATCCTTGAAGAGCCGAAGCTTCTGTGGTCCTGTAAGTTTTGTCATATTTTCTTTCCTTTTCTCAGGTCTTTGATGGGTATATTTAACACAGGGGTATTGGTTGGTTAGTTGGTTGTCTACTTTTTGTCAAAAAAGGCCAAACCATAACAAACAGCAGCACTTTTTCTACTACTTCTTTTCCAGAGATCTTTGAGAGTCTACATAAGTATCAGCAGATTCTTCCTTATCCAGTATTGGTGAGTATTGCTTATATATATATGCAATGATCCTAACAGGTAAGATAGAATTTGCTAAAGTTCAGCAAAACTCTTTGGGGTTTACTGGAACTACAAGTAATACAATTTTTATCTCATAGTTTCATCATAAAGGGCCATCTGTCTTTCTGTTCCATGCTTTGTTTCAACTTTGTTTTTAATGTCTTGTCTAATCATTCTGTTGTTTCATCTATGACACTCAGATCTAGACTGAAGATGAATGACACTTATGATGGTAAGATGAAACTGCTCCTCAAATATTAGATAACCAGATACTGAAGATCAAAATGATCCAGAGCACATCTGAGTTGCTTTTAAAACTAATAAGGGTCTATTCCACAGAGTGGCTCAGGTGAACTTTGTAATGTTATAGTCTTGCTCCCTTCTCTGTATATTATTAGCCCATTGTATCCAAGATCATGGATCATCTATCCTGGTCATATAAAAGAAATGTGGCAGGTTCAAGAGGCTGCATTTGAAACAGAGAGTTTAACTCTGCTCTTCCTGCCCTGATAACACCGTACTTCTGGGGCAGTGCTGCTTTGTCTCCCTGTCATGGGACCCCTTTGGGCTAAGGAGTGAAAAATGACTGCACCAGCACCATCAGTTAGACCAGCCACAGCTTGGTTAGACCACTAACTAAATGCTACAGACCCCTTACCTGTCCCAGGTAAATCTACTTTTCTTAGCACTGTTCCCAGTTGATTGTCACTGGTTGGGCAGTGCCACTCCAGCCAAGGGCTGTGCCTTCCTCCCCTGTGCCAATCCACAGGTACGTCCACTAGAGATTTTTGGTGGAGAAAGGAGACAGGGAGGACAAGTCACAGCATCTTTTCATTCCTCCACCCTGGGCAGCCCACTCCTCACCTGCAAGGACCTACCTAGTTCCCAGGAGAGAGAGGTTGTACTTTCCCAAAGACAATTCTGTGAACTGCTACAGTCCCACACTGTTTCCACTCTGTAACATCATGGGTTAAATCTTAGGTTTTAAACACTCTGCAACAGGAATGCTGCTTTGCTTGCTGAGTACCACTCACATGAGTAATTCTACGTAAACAACTCCTTCCCTTTCTTCAAAAGGAAAGAGAACTTGAGAATAACCACAAGCAGATACTCCTAGATACCCAGTCCCAATAGTAAATCTTGCTGAACAGCTAATTCTGATCATTAATAGACAGGTTAGAGTGAAAATCCAGACACTCCTAGAGAAACTTCAGCATAAGTATTTAAACAAGAGCCACCTTCTCTTAGTTTATCCAGAAAGAGACCACCCACAGAATTATTTTAAACAATATTGTTGCAGAAAATTGGAAGGGTGAGTTTCAGGCTTTGGCATTACTGAGACAATATCTTGGCTTCTCCATCAAGTTGATCCCACAAATATCCTTCTGAACTGCCTGTTTCTGCAGTCCAAGACACCAGAAGTCCAGAGGAGCAACCACTGCAGATTCAGAGCTCCAGACTCTGGAATTTGAACACCAGATTTCCAGGATTCCTGCTGACTTTAAAAGCCACACTCTGAATTTCTCAAGCATAAAAACCAAGGATGGCAATGTTTGCACTGTTGACCATTCTCAGAAAATACATATAAACGAATGCATTATCTGTGGGACTGTGGTTTTAAGGGAAATCTGATAATTCTTCACAATTTCTTTTTAAAACACTTGAACAGGGAAGCACATCAGTATTAAAAATATCTGAATTCCTGTCTAAAGCACTTCTTAATTTTTCCCAATTGTCTTGAACCACATCAGGATATTTCTCATCAGGCTACATTCATTCTATGAGAAATAGGCTGGAAAATTGGAGTTAAGAACATATCAATTATTTTTCTTAGTCATATAGAAAGCATATAAACTGTTCAGTAGCAAATTTAGTAACAAAATGAAACACAAAAGAGAAAAAACTGTAGCTATCAATTATATATAATTCCAAAAGTTTATTCACTGTCAATGACACATAGCACTGATAAAATAAAATTATTGAAAAAATTGGATAGAATAAAGAAGTATTCAAAACTATTTTCAAAAGGTGATGCTTAAACAAATACTCCCCAAGTGTGCAGGCTTCATTGAGGTGTCTCAGTCACTAATAGTGTCCTACTCTATCAAAACATCATCACAGTGATAATAAAGAAAAAGTCTCTCCAAGCTTTCTCCTTCTCATCCCAGACCTCCTCAAATCCAAGCACCTACACAGGGAGCTCATTAACGCCCTAAATAATTTTTATCATTGCAACATTTCCTTTCTAGTAAAATCAATCTGGTAGAAGAACTGAAAGACACATGTACACAGCCTAGGTGGTTACTTATAAACCTGTAGATTTCCTACATCGAATTTGATCTTCCTCTGTTTACTTTTTTAAATGCTTCATAATTACACTTCACTGTTCAAAGGATGCTCATCTTACCTGGAGAAAACTACTTTCAGAGAGTGTAGGTGACACACTATAAGTACTGGGTGTAAATCAGTGATCTTCCTGCATCACTACATTAGCTGGATTTTTCTTTCCTGTCAGGAACTTTTCCTTGCCACTGAAAACCTTGCAGCCCTCTGAACCGCATTGCTGTGCTCCTCCTTGATGTGACTGAATTGCTTCTGCTTACGTATATAAAAGAGAGACTGCTACTTCTGCATTTCTGAATCTTCTTCCTCCGTTAGCTAGAGAGCCATTGCATTCCCACTGCATGAAGAATACTAGCCTGAGAGTAATCTCAAAGGTTTTCTTCCCAAGTGCTCTACAAATATTATTTCCAACCCATTGAGGAAAAAGGAATTTCAGTCCCAACAGTGAATCTTGCTGAGCATCTAGCTCTGATTGTAAGTAGACAGATGAGAGTGAAAGTCTAGAGACAAATTACCCTCAATGTTAATAGATTTTTATTTGGGTGGGAAAAACCCATTGCTGACACACTGTTTTTCATGAACAGCTGCTGTGTTAGATGTATGCATGATAGATCCTAGGTTTGGTTCCGTCCTGATAAAGGGGATAAAACTGTCCAATAACACTGCTGTGTGCACAAATCTCTTCCATCTTAGGATATGCAAATATTTACCCTGGATTAGCTGAGTAGTACTGTCTGCAAAAAAAAAGCAACTTGAATAAAATCAGAAATAACCAGCAAATCACACATTCATAAACAATAGCAGCATGACATAATAGGAAACTTAAAGAGCATATATATCATCATTAGCATTGGAGAGTAACACCAAAACAAGTGCTCATCAGCCATGAAAGGCCACTTTGCAATTAGACTTATTTATGAAGTGTACTTTTCTTAAGTTGACCCAGGAGAAGTATTATGGGTATAAAAAGACCGAACAGTTCATACAAGTAAAATGGCAGAATTCAGACCACTGAACCTAAAAATTTGAAACCCACTTAAAAACTGAAAATAAAACTAACCTGCAACATAGATGTACTACAACAGCATAAGAAAATCAGGGAATTAAGACAACCTTGGCTCAGCCTATCTGGTTTGTCATAGATTCCCATCTTTTTAGGAAATAGAAGAAGAGAAAATTTTCATCTCGTGCAAGAGAACTGCAAATTTTCATGCCTGTTTTCAGGAAGGAGTTTCATATTTGTTTTATTTTAAAATGTACACAGTGCAAGCTGCTGGGCCAATGAAATCTCCTGGGTCCTGGCAGTCAGCGGGAGCCTTACCTGGAGCAGCAGCACACTATAGTGTGCTCCCTTCTCCGGGCTATTCCCAGCTCTCTAACTCCCTCTGCATGACAGCGGCCTGAATAACAAGGACATTTGCTTCTGCCACATGCAAAAGGAACATATGTTAAAAAAAAAAAAAAAAAAATCTAATGTGGTAAATACAAAAAAAAATATTAGGCTTTGAATTTAACTGGGAGTTGTCACATAAATAAATGCTGCTGCAGAACCAAGTCCACAGTACTACTCAGATGACAGAAGGGTTATGCTGTGTAACTACAGTGAAAACAGCATTGTGACCTCTCTTATTCTGTCTTTACAGGCCCAAGTTTCAAAAAACACATTACTTTCTCTGGTTTTAATTTTCAGTTCCTTCTTGGAAAAGATCTAAGAGGTTTTTTTAAACCAGTGTGTGTTTTATCTACCTGCATGTAAGCTTTTCTTCAGTATTACCTTCCTTTCTTTTCTGAAAATACGATGCAACCTTTGGAATTCCAGCAGAACAGTAAGGGGAAAAAATGTTCAACAGGATGCTACACACAAACTGGAATAATCCAAACATTCATCAGGCTCAACACAGCTCAGATGGTGAATTTATAAGTAAGCAAGTTTAATGATATGAAAAGATAATATTAAAACAGCAGAGTTTATTTAATTTGAAGATTTTTCTGGCAAATTCTTGTCTTCCACCTCTTATTTTTTTGTGTCAACGTCTTTAAAAAGTCCATCTTTTGACACTTGTCAATCCTATAAACACATATTATATTGCACAGCTATGCAGTGGAATTCCTTGAAAAGCATCCTTCACAATTGTCACCTTCCTAGTATGCCTGTATCACAGAAGAGGGAGCTGAGAAACCTTCTGGAGGAGAATGGGTTTTTAGTTCTCATGTATCAACACTGGTCACCAGGAAAAGAATCTTCAGCCAGAGGGTGGTCTGTCACTGGACCGAGCTCACAGGGAAATGGTCATGGCACCAAACCTGCCTGAGTTCAAGGAGCATCTGGATGATGCTCTTTGGTTTAGCTTTAGGTAGCCCTGCAAGGAGCAGAGAATTAGAATCCTTGCTTCTTATGGCTCACTTACGTCCTGAGGCATTCTAAGGTTCTATGATAAATATACTTACAAGAAGCATACTCCACATAATTTTTATCTATTTGAGTGAAATGAATGCATGAAAATTAAAACCACAGGTAAAAAAACTGGGCCATTAAAAAAGGCCCCCTAAAACAAAAGCAAAAGCAAAACATGGCAAACTACTGTAACACTTCAGAGCCCTAAAGTGTTAAGATCAGGACAGGTTTTATGATCTGTCTACTACTTTCACTGCTCTTCAGCAGGAAAAAGTAAATCTGTTCCCTAAAGGTATTTTTTTATCCTGTTCTTAAAAATGGATGGCCATTACAGATGGTCAACCACCTCCTAGCCTAGATGTCGGTGTTTAGCTTACACTATTCTTTGGAAAGCTTGAATTTTAGTCCACTATTTTATGTCCTATTCATAAGCGCAAACTTCATTCCCTTCGCCTCCACAGCAAAGTCACATGTTTCTCAAGATTTATAACCTAGAGAAAACAGAGTGGAAATGTAAGTCCAGTTCCTTTCTTTTTTGTCTCAAGTGTCTTAGTCAAGTGTTCTTCACCTTTGTTCTTCTTCCACATATTCTCCAAGCAGTCTACAGCTACCTTGAAGTGTAATGCCAAACCTGGATACATCAGCTTAGCTTTCATCTCATCGTTGCCAAGGAAAGTCTCCTATGTAACCACTCTGTTTATACATTGCAGAATTATGTTTGAAGCTGCTTCCTCTTTGCTCTAAAGACACACTTGACCTGCCAGAGAGATCTAAAGTTTTGCTTACAATATACAATATAAAATGCATTTAGTTTATGTTTTGACGTTCCATTCCATTCATAATTCTGTGGTAAACACACAATGAAAAAGCTGGTATTCTTGGCTCCCATGAGTGTATTCAGGTCTCAAAATTGAACAGTTGACACAAGTGCAACCAAAAAAAAAGAAAAAAGCACTAGTGCAGCTAACCCCAAAGTCAGGGCTGGAAAGCCCAAACTAAAGCAAGAAACACCAGCTAAATTAAAAATTGTTAAGGAAAATAAAGAGTAGGCAGTTCTTCAGCTGTATAAATAAGAAGGAACCAAGAGAAAAGAAATTATGCCACTATGTAGCCAGTGGAGTTCAGATAAAAATAACCCATATATGGCTGCAAAATGAATGACCAGGCATTTGGGATAAGATTCATCTGACCTGTTTCAGCTGTTCCCTCCAAGAAACACTTTCATAAACGCTTGCTTCTCTCCACTTATCTAAGACAGACTGTGGCCACCCACATGAGAGCCCATGGAGACTTTCAGGTAAGCACCAGAGCTACAATCCAAGCAACTTTCAGAAGTTTCAGCAAGCTCCAGCAGGGGACACAGTAGAGGCAGCCTTGGCCACTTCAGGAAAGCAGAGCAAAACAGAACGTGCTGCATCAAAAATAAGAGTGTTTGTTTTATTATCCTCACTTCCTTGGCTTTTTTTTCCTGCTATAAAATCATCATGTGTTTGTACAATATTCTTATTCTGGGAATGTATTTCAGTCCACATAAACATCTGCACTTAGTTATGTTAGCCAGTATCCAAATCCCAGCAAGATCCTGCCCTGATTATTTAGCTCTGACTGTTTTTGCCAGCTTCTATTCCCAGAATACACCGGATTTATGGCTATGTCCAACCTCCAGCTTTGCTAGTTAGAAGATTGTAACACACATGCTCAAACTGAACGTCTGTTATACTGGGACAAAGTCTTTCCAGCAGGCTCAAGTAACTAGCTGTTAAATTGTGCTAGCATACATTAGCAGCAGGAAACTGAACTATTGCTGGATGCCATTTCTTGGTCTGTATTTTTAATCATACTGTTTTGACCTACATCTTTTGTCTGCTTTCCTTGATATCCAACCATAAAATACAACCCTTGATTCAAATACCAATAAAACCTGTTGTTGCAATTTTGCATAACTCAGTGCAAAAGAACCCAGATCTCAAGTAAATAAACTGGTAAATCAATTTTTTGGGACCACTATGTGTTTTTGTCTGCTGCCCTGCAGAGCTAGATCCAAAGCATTAATCAAAAAGAGATATATACAATTTCATCTGAGAAGACAAACAAAAACATGCAGGATATAAATCAAAACAAGAACTTGCAAAAGAATAGAGTAAGCACTTACTAAGCCAAAAACATATTGTTCTTGTGAAGAAGCCTGCTCTGACCACTGTGCTTTCTCCAAATGTACGTTTATGGAATTCCAGGCCAGAACATTTTTGGAGCAGAGACATGAAGCATTCACTCCCCGCAAAGTTCACTGTGATCTGCCTAATTCTCATGGAGCTGAACTTCACCACAGCTGAGCACAAGATTACCTTTCAATGCAGCTCCTAGACAACTATTCTCTGATGGATATTTCTTTGAAGACTTATTTTACATGACTGACAACTGCTTCGGACTGTGAATATGCTAATACATAAATAACCTGACCTCCTACTCTACCCCTCCCTCACAAGATACGATTTGAAAACAAAGTTTACGCCTTTCTTTGAGCCAGAAAGCTGGTTTGGAATACAATTTCTTTGTATCTGGTTTGGATCTCTCAGCTGATGCTAAAATGCACCTACTTTGCTTTGGTGTGTGAAAACACACACACTACAGAAATAAAAGCTTCAGAAAGAAAATGCAGAAAATAATTATTAAAATGTATTTAAATCTTTTGAGTTGAAATACAAGTGAGGTAACCAGTCAACCAAAGAAAGCTCACATATTATCCATTCCTATTTCTCTCAAATCCCAGCTCCTGGCTCTGAGCAAGATGGCTTTTTCAGCTCCTGGCCCTGCTGTGAAGCAGGCAGAGATGAGAAATGCCCAGCCACTAGCAGGACCAGGTTCAACTGTCTCCCTTTCCCTCCAGCCACTCACCCCATAGAAATGCAAACACAATTTTTTTTTTCTGGGACTGGACAGCCCCTGTCAACACCTACATTTTGAAGACTTGACTATTCAATGCTGCCATTGTTTAAATGGCATCTGCCCCATCCAGTCCCTGGTTGACAGACCCAAAGTTGCAGCCCTCCACCACAGCTCCTGCCCAAGTGGAGCTGCTTCTCCAGCTCCAAATTAACCCCCTCTCTACAGGATTTTCTAGCCAGAATCAGCCAATCCAGTAAAATACCAGGTCAAGGCACAGAGGGAGCCAGAGAGATTTATGTACCCTATCCCTACTTGCATCAGTAATACCAGTATCAAAATGCATAAACCTATCTCAGAAAAGCTATCTGCACCATGCAAAAATATCATGCTTCGAATTTTGTCTAAGCAGCTTTAAGCATACAATGTGCTTTTCTAAGCTAGAAATAATCCATAAATAAGCAGATTTGTAACAGGTACATGGCTGAAGGTCTCCTCTATGACAGTCTCCTCCTCAGTCACTGCACACTGTGCTAGAAGCAGGTGTTGTTAAAGACAAGACAAGCACTCAAGTGTTTGGCAGTGGCCACTCCCATGCACATATCAAGAACACTCCCATATTCTGGTGACTAAACCAAGTCATGGGCTGTGCCTCTAGACCCCAGCTGTCCCTAATACTGTCAATAGATCTTATAAAGTAATAATAATAATGAAAACATATATAAATAAAGAGACAATACCTCTTCTGCCTCATTCACAGTGATATTAATCTTCAGTTATTAGAGAAAGGAAGGCCTTTGTTTTTATTTTTACAGAAGCACTAGCACAACTCATTCTGGAAAAGCAAGCTCTAAATATCTCTTAGGCAGGCAGGGAAATAGGACACCAAAGATGACATACTATTTTAAGTGTAAAAAAAGTATAAAATTTTATTTGACAAGTTAACAAATAATAACATTTCATTAGTCCATTAAATCACTTTATTACAAGGAAGTGTAGATGAATTATAGCTACACTACATGAAAGTTAATTCTAAGGTGAACAACCTGACCTACTGGAGAGTAGGCATTTTAGAATGTACGTCTGCGATATCCAGTTTATTTTTAAAAGGTATTTGTACCTAAAAACTTACTAGATGTCAGACAACTTCAAAAACTTCTAACAGAGCAAACTTCAGAACTATTCTTCTCAGATGACATCATCTTTTTTCAGAGATAGCTGAAGTTTCCTCACAGCTTTTAGCAGCTGAAGAGAACTTCTGCTTTTCTGCCCAGGACAAGGATTAGACATACTTTCCTTTGCAGTGACTGCAATCTGCTTTGCTTCCTTTTGTTCACCACACTTTAGTTTGACATGAATTGCCCCTTGCTTCAATTTCTGAGTTTTTAATTTCTGCACCTAGGAAAAAAAAAAAAAAGACTACTTAGCATGTTACATACTCCAAAGAGCCACAGCTGTAGAGCTGACTGGACTTCTACTGTATTCCAAACTACAGATGACTAAGAGACATTAAAAAAGAAGAAAAGTTTAAACTTAGTAACCTTGCACAGTCGTCTCAGTGTAACAGAAAACTGACCTTGCCCAGACAGAAACCACCACAGAAAACTGACCTTACCCACACACAACTGGCTGTTGAATCCCACTGCTCCCTAACATAAAAATGCTTGCTTGAGAGAGCTGGAATATCATCTCTTAATAATCTATACTTACAACAGTCTCTTTCCATTTCAGATTTTACTACCCTAACAAAAAAACCAAACAACTAATAAACCTCTAAAATGTTAATTATCAGTTACTGGATCTAAGCAGCTTACTTTGAAGCCTCCTTAACAAAAGTAGAAAACAGAATAAATAGGGTTAATTGCTAAAGATTTTTTTTTTAAATGTCAAATAATGAGTCTTGACTTGTACTTGGCATGAAAAGGTCACTTCCCAAAGATAAAATTAAGCTGGTAGCATTCCAAATGCCAATTTAGGCTTTAAGTCCATTTCCAAAAATAATTAACTTTAATTGCATTTTAGATTATATTATTAACTGTGAAACACAAAGATTAGCATGGCACTTTTAGTATGGCAGGTTCTAGAAAAAAAAATATGCATTAGGAATATTAAGATTGGTCTGTACAAAATACAAATGGAAATGTCTGTGTGCAAAAGCACCAGAAAAAAAACCAACAACTTATGGGCCAAGGAGTTAGAGGAATGGCCTGTATTCATGACCAGGGCATGATGGACAGTAATCATACAGACAGCACTATTACAGCATGACCCTAAGGGTTGTGTTCTGACCAGGCTGTACAAGAGCACAGAGGACTTGCCAGAAGATCTGCACACTGGTAAGAGGCAAAGATGACAACAAGGTTACACCATATTGTATATGCTACACTTCATCATCCCAAAACAAACTGTGGCCATAAAGACATGCAAAAGAAAGAAACAAAGGTGCAGTTGTTGTCCACTGTCTTAGGTTCCTAAGAATGAAGTCGGCAAGATTTTGAGGCAACACTGTAGTTGTTATTATCAAAATATCATAAATGTTGTTATCAAAAAAACAGCTGACATTGCCAAGAGAAGCAGTGAGGACTCAGCAAACAATGTCCTTTGTCCATATTGCTAACATGCAAGACACATCTGCTATGACATAAAGCACCTCTATGCTTGCAATTATAGAGACAATAGAAAGTTTAAGTGAGTAAAATCCATCAAAAATGAATATGAATAAAACTGGTCAGATTTAAATTAACTATAACCTCCTCCTTTCATAAGGTCTCACATTGAGTTTTGTTTTGTTTCCTGTATAAGCAAGGTTCTCAAGTGAGTATTTATCTTGAAACATAAGATGAAAAACCAGAAAACAATCAGACAGAATTATGGATTGAATGTTTAATCATATGCCCAAACCAAATTGCTACAAAAGAGTTAGTCTGTTCTACTACAGAAGAGGGATTTTATATGGGCATATATGAAAAGTTGTTATTTATGGCTCTAAACTAAATACTGACAGAATGAGGACAGTTTAAGGGTTAAACAAAACTGAAAGGCTTGCCCAGATATGATTTTGGAGAAGCTCTGGTCAACAGATTAGGTAATAAAAAAGCCTCAATGTTTCAGTAATATAAAAGGCACTTAATCCAGTCTGTACAGGAATTACAGCTTCTATTTTCTCATTCCCCTGAGGGACAGGATATAAAGGAATGAAATTTCAACAGTTTGTCTTAACACAGTGAGCAGAAGTGACAGACAGTGCAACCCAGCTCTGTACTGCAGAACTGCCACAGGGCAGGAAGCTTTCCCACCAGCATACATTCCTAACTGCCAGTTGTAAGCACTTTTTCTTGATCAAATGAAGAAATTGGAGGTACAAAAATATGAGCCAGCAGTCTAATTTTAATCACCCATACTGGAACATCTTGGTTTAAAACATTCCAGTGACATTCCAGCTGATGACAACAGGAGGCAGAGTTGTGGCAGTCTTTCACCAAAAATGTTAGTAGCTAGAGAGTTTACATTTCATTCTTACAGTAGCCTGATGCTTTTTCAGCTTGGATATTTGTTTTCCTTTCATCTCCATTTGTTTTACAAGGCAATCCAGCTCCCGTTCCAGGTCTTCATGAGCTTGGGAGTCTTGAGTCTCCTGTATCTGCTGCAGAAGTTCTTGATGCTCACTATTAAAGACAGGAATGGCAATAGAAGTATTCACAATATTGTCTCCAGGATTTCTTCTTGCAGAAATTCCTAGCCATTTTTGTGCAGAGTACAGAAATTCAGCATTATTTCCACTCTCACACAATACACAGTAATGTGGACTATATTAACATGAGAAAGGGAAAAGGTTTTCCCATGAGTCTGATTTTCTCCATTTCCAAATTTTAGCTGATGTCCATCTTACTTCTCCCTCTTCCCACAGGCACAACAACTACATGTGTAATACTGTGCAAAATGAGATTTTTGAAAGTGAAAAGCAGCTATGCAGTACAACATTTTCACTTCCTGCCCAATTTAGTGCAGACTTTGAAGGCTTAGTGTAATAGGCAAAAATATTTTTTGAACTAGTGCATTCAAGTTAAAATTTTTCTGACAAATTATTCAAATTAAAATATTCTACTAAAAAATATTTACAGCAAAGTGGGCTACTTAATTAAACTAACTAGATTAAGTAAAATAAATTGTGTTGATCTTGATACCCAGATACTTGAACAAGTTGAAGCTAGAGACCCTCTCTTAGATAAGTAATCCTTTTGCAAAGTTAAGAGCTTCTTTTCTGACTTCTAAGTAACTGCTTCTCCTTGACAGTTGAAGTGAAGCAACTGGTTGTTGCTGTTAAAAAAAAATACCTGTCCTTGAACTGCCATGAGTAAGCCAGGCATTGCTTTTTGAACATGAGATTGCTTGCCAGCTTAAATTTTACCACATGAAGGATTTCAAATCAGCGTCAACATCCTAACTGGTTTAATCAGCACATCCTCCTCTGTTCAAATCCCAGCTCATCGTGTTAACATGTCTGCTATGGCCAGCTACAGAGCTTTGGCTCACAGTCCCACAAGCCTGCATTAATGGGAAGATGCCCAAGAACACAGCAGGTTGTAATCCACACTTACTTGCATGGCTAGAAAGATACATACACTCCCATCTGAAGTGTTAGCTTCATCCCCACCCTGCCCATTTTCTGGCAGGAGACTGTCCCTCTTTCCCAACCCCCTCACAGGACCAGCAAGTTCTCCTGCTATCAACAAGCAAAGGGTATGAGCACCAGACTGACTCAGCACAAAAGCCTGGCAGGTACACCACTAAGGAAAGAACACAGAGTGAGTACAAAGGAACAGGAGAGATGTTGTGACAGGACTGTTCATGCCAGAACTGTACTAACCCATCCCACCACCCAGACTTACTGCAGCCTGCAGGTGTACTCAATATTGGCACCACCTTTGCAGCCTTCTCCAGGAGAAAAATTTTGGTTTACTCTGTTTGTTTGCATGTTTAAAATGTCTAAAAAGCACAGAGCTGAAAGATTTTTCAATTTGCTGCAGCTTCTACTTCAGCAGCAGGTTGTTTAAATACAGGATGTGGAAGCAGAAAAACAAGACCAGTGGAACACCAGGACAGAAAGAATTTTTTGAATGAGAAAAATCCTACTAGTCAAGCCTACTCAGATTATTCTGTTAACAAGTAGTCCCATAGCTAGAACAGGCTAGGCTCGATTATAGCACCCCATCACTTCTCAGGGCTACCGCTGAAGTCACATTTATTCACACACCAGCGATGGGTACTCACGAGCTCATTTGGCCCAGCTCATCTTGTAAGGCCAACAGAAGGTTTGAAAAGCTCCTGGGTGATGTGGAACAAGAGGACAGAGATTTTGAAAGTGCACTGTGTCCTGAAATCCCAGCTGTATCTCCTCCTTGTCTTCGCGATGAAATACATGGATTGCGATGCTTCATAATGTGCAACACACTTTGTACGTTTGCACTGACAGAATGGCTGGAGCTGACAGACTTAAAGAAGAGTTATCAGTGGCTTACAGAGGTAATTAACAACTACACAGCCTTACTCAAACTGTAGATGTCACTTTAGTGAGAACAGTGATTTTCACCTACCTTCCCAGCCACAAAAGGTAGTTCACCAGCCTTTACATGTAATTGTGAAAGGTGCATTTTCTTCATTGTTGGATTTCTCTGCCATAGGAGCCATAAGAAAATGTAAGACAAGAAATTCCAATCTACTGACTCGAGAGTACAATCTTAAACTTTTTTTAGTAAGTAAAATTCAAGTAAATACACAGTACAATACAGTGAAATGCATCACCTAAGTTTTCTTCTGGTTTTAAAAAAATATATTTTCCCTCCTGTATGTGTAACAAGTAAGACTTTCCAATAGTCAACAGATGTAAACTTTACTCCGTATACATGTAGGAGATTGTTTAACAATTAGGCTAACATCAAAGGAATTGAACCTTGTTCACTTCAGTTTTCAAAACCACAATTGCAAAATTTTGATTGATCTGGAACAAGTGTTGCAAAATAAATTCTCTTGATTTCAGTAATCCCCCCGAAACACACCATCTTAAGATGCTGAGCTAAAACTCCTTTGGAAACTAATTTTGCCAGGTAAACTGAAAGGCAGCTAAGACAGGACATGGGGGATGGCAGCAAGACTTTAATGGAGGTAATTGTCAAGCTGGGAAGACAAGGTTTTCCAGTGATGTCCTACCAGCCCCAGTACCATTTTAATTAATGAAGCAAATTAAAAAAAAAAAGAGGAAAAAGAGTTATTTAGCACTGTTTTTCATTTTAGAAGTGGAGTAATGTGCAGCAGATGAATCAAGTGGCTCTTACATCACCGTTTTTCACTAATTCCAGTCTCTGTGCAAGTCAGATGCTATCAGCAACAGTATGCTAATAAAAATTTCCACATTACCTTCCTAGGTTTTTTGTTCTTCCCATTTCCCTTTTCAGGTTCATGTTGAGATGCTACTGAAGATATCAAAATTCTGTTTATATCAAATCCTGCTTGAAGCTGTGGCAATAAGCAAAAAGGAAAACAGCCATTTAATGTAATATTACAAGTATGAAATACAAAGGTTTAATTAATTCTCTGTTTCATGCATGGATAAGAACCAATTAAGGGCACTATTAATTGTCCTGCTTGGAAGGCATAAGCTACTCTTAAAAACTGAACAGATTACTAGGAAGGCAGGGTATCAGGCAGATCTTGCAGCTCTGTCTTAGTATTTCTCATTTTCATATTCAGCTGCAGCAGCAGCTGTATTTTTCCACTGTGACAACCAGCAACTGAGATAAGCCAATCCTGCCACATGCTGAGGATCTGATCATAAAATCCAAATTATATGAACATTTGGCTCTTACAATCTGGGGACAGAAAGAACTAAGCCTGTGTGTGTTACATTGAGGTCAAACCTGCTGGACAATCCTCATATTGCTTGGTGGTTCAAAGTTGCTATCAAGGCCCATGACAAACAGGATGATAATCATTCCTAATTAAACATAGGACAAGGACTTTGTTTTGGCATGTGTTTAGCTGCATTGTTCCAGCTAAACAACGCTGGAGGTCCTCCACTAAAGTGAGAATATTCTGGCTTTTCTGTCATCAAGAGGAAGTGAACCACACCACACCCTGTGCTTCCCAGTTCAGATCCAACAGACCTAAATCCATCCTGCAGTGTATTAAGATGGTACTAACGCTACTTTAGGACTCAGTTTACTGCATCTAAATCCTTTCTTGAGGAAATGTTTAGACTGTCTTCTCTGGGAGAGTCATTCTTACCATGTTTCACAGAAGATATAATCTCTGTACCTTTTGCTCTGCAGCAGCAAGCAGTTTAAGCAAGAAACCAAAAAACCTGCAAGCTTCCAACTGTGTCATTCTGCTGAATTTTGGAGGTGGTCAGACATCTGGGCTACAAATCTGTATGTTATTTAAAGCTTCCTGGATTGATGAAAATCCATCATCCCTGGATGAGGTATAAGAGCTGACAGCTGTGATGAATTAAATTAAGGCTTTGCTCATGTTCTTCCAATATTACCTTCAGCACTGCAGCCCCCACCCTACCTCAAAGGAATTCCTCCACAACTGGTCTCTCTTGCAGTGGCTGGCTGCTACTTATGCACAAAGTGAGGTTTGGAATATGACTACCTTGCCCCTGTAACACAAAGTTTCATCATTTGCTCTCTTTGACAAATACTCCTCTCTCCAATAGATGCTGGCCCAGCAAACTGATTATGGCTTCAGAAAATAATGAATTATACAAGATCTCATTTCATGAACGAAGTACCACTGATTAAGGTTTTCCCAAGTACAGCCCTATGTATTAGATTTCTACAGATCTTAACATAATAACAAACAGAATAACCAACCTCACTTGGGATATAAGGTTTCATAAGTGACCACTTTCAAGTTACTGAAAATTAAGTTAACTTGATTCAGTTACAGATTTTCTAGAAATTAATTTTCTACCTGGGTCACTTAGAGCAGTGTTGAGGCTGATGAACAGTATCACTATTACAAACCCAAGTAGAATCTTTCTTCACTGAGATATGCAATGCATCTGGCAAGCTTTCTAATATGTAGCATATAACTGATCTAGGTAGTATTTCAGGAGTTCTGCCTGGGTAATAAACACGAGGAGTTAAAATGTAATAAAACAAGAACGGCATTTTTAACAGAGAAAATAGCTTTTTTCAGTACTAAAAAATAAGATAAAATAAAATCTTTTCAGTCTACCTGAGCAGTTTTATCTTGCAATAGCTTATGCTGATGCTCTTCTTTACACAGCTTTTCTTCTAAGTGTTTGATCTTGTCCTGAATTTGAAGGCAAGAATGATTAGTCCCACTTCAATTTGTCATGCTGAATCAGAAGTCTGGAGGAGCTCACAATTGTAATGTAGGGATAAAACTGGACTGTAGGAATTTTTAAAGCTCAGACTGAAAAAAAGGCTCATACACATGAAGCCAAAGTGGCATTCAGTCAGGTATGCTTTAACAGAGGTAAATTTTGCAAAACTTAGTCCTATTAACAGTATGCCACAAAATGATACTAAATGACTTTCAGACTGTCGTTCCATGCATGCTTACTTCAGCAATTCTCTGAGTAGCAGTAAGTTTAACACACTCTTTTTCTAGCATTTCAAGCTTTTCAAGTTTTGCATGCAGTTCCAACCGGTTCTGATCTTCCTCTTTCTGAAGCTGAGCCTGGAAAAATAAGCAAGAATGGAGTTGGCAACTGACTGAAATTGTTTCAGACAGCAAAAAAACCACCAAACCACCCCACTCCAGAGTAAAGGTGTTTAATTAGTTTAAATTCCATATTTTTTAAATTGCAAAGTGATGAAAAATACCAGGCAGACAAAGACAACTTAAGCTTCCAGCAGCTTTTTTGTCTACCAAGTGTGCAAGTATTAGCATGGTTTTGCTCATTAGGAGTTCCACCCAGGGAGCTTTTCATACAATTCATTGAATGGTTGTCATCAGCCATACACTAAATTGCTTCTGTTTGCTAGCAGCCTGAGCAGAGCTGAGGAAAACAATGACCACAAAAAACTTTGGCTCCTGCAAATTTCTATACTTTTGAACTATGTCACTACTTTGTTATTATGTTAAAGGGCTTCACCTGTTGTTCTAAAATCATTTTCTTTTCCAGTTCTGCACTGGAAATCATTTTTCTCATGTAATCCAGCTGTTTCTCCAGCAGGGAGCAGCGGGATTGTGCTGCATTTAACCGCACACTTGCATCTACGGAGAGAAACAAGACATTCAGTACAGCAAATGGAGCTACACATTTATAGCCAGCCTGTCATTTCATTGAGGAATTCTCTGTCTTCAAAACAGGCAAGAACAGTTTTGTTAGTCTGAACAAGTCATGTGGTTAAAATGTATTTTATATATAAGACATGAGAATCAAAATGTTTTCTCAAAGCTAGCCCCTAATTTGAATTCCAAAGACATGAACACTGCAGTTACTTTGATTTCTATCAGCAGATACCAGAATCTGAGAAAGGAGAATCTTTTCTTCTATCTTTTCTCAAGTTAGCAGTGTTATGTAAGCAGCTGCTGGCTTACTGTAGGAGTTAAACATACCACCAGAAACATGCTTAGTCTTTAAAATTGCTTTATGGCTTATGCAATACTCGGTTGATATATGTAAAAAAAAATCTCAACTTGATCCACAATTATCAAGCTCCTGTCCCTCCTCAGTTCCAAAGCAAAAAAACAAAAGGGGGCTGCACTAATTAGCAGTTTTTCAAAACAAAACACTCCCTGGATTATACAGTCTTAGTGTTGCTGTGGCTACACCTTATCACCCAAAAGAAATACCTTTCCTCTGTTGCATCAGCTCCTGATGTGCTGCATCCTTCTCATAGGATTTGTGCTCTAAGACCTTCTTGTACTGAGCAGCTGCTCTGGAGAGGCTGAACAGTTTATCTTCAGCCTGTGACTTCTCCAGCTCTAGACGGTAGATTTTTTCTTGCAGAGCTTTCAGGGCTGCCACTACAGCTAGCAAACAACACAACAGCTACACCTTAAGTAACAGTATTTTGATGATGCTTATCATTATTAGAAAACACTTCATGTTACAATAAAATACCTAAATTTTCTTCCTAGAATCACTCCCAAAATTAACTATATTCCCCAGCTGTACACCAGCATATGCAGAACATACATAGGAGAAAATAAATGTGTTTCCTGCATAACTGAGGTATGAAGCTCAAATAAATCATAGCAAATAGAATATTATAAATCCTGGGAACTCTCTTTAAATAGAAGCAGAGAACAAAGGTATCCAAGTGAAGTCACAAGTTTCAGTGTAAAGCAACTGGTCTGGACAGATTAAAAAGGGAAAACATGCTCAGAACAGGAGGAAAAATTAGATACAAAGGACAATTCAGCAATTAACAGCATTGTTAAATACTTCATTGTTTCAAAAGGTAATATTTCAACCTCTAGTATTTTGTATTTGATGATTCTTTAAACCATAGAAACAAGTCTAGAAGATTTTGCTTTCAGCCTCAAATCAGTATGTGTCAAATTCTACCAAAAATAAAAGCTGCAATTTCAGCTACAAGAAAAATTCTGCTAGCTTTATGTCCATAAAGCATACACACCTGTGCAGCTTAAGACATGTTCTGTAACAACTCAAGCTTATTTTTTGACATTTTATAATTAACAGTTTCTCTATTCCAAACTCTCTAATCAAAAGAATACCACTAAATATTGCTACCTCCTTAGCAACTTTCACCATCGTATCATAGATCCATTAAAAAAACAAACAAAAACTCCCCCAAACCAAATAAAACCACACAACAGCAAAAACCAAACAAACATCAAACAAAAACTCAAACAAAACTAAAAGCAAATACCAGAAAGCAGAAGGATGAAGTGGGACCACATTTTCCATCTTTCTATTGGTATGCCAAACATTTCCTTAACCACTTAAGTACATAGCACTAAACTTATCACTGTAATCCAAAAAAAGCCCAGATTCTTCATGACATAAGACCACAGAAATCACAGATTTTTCAGGTGAAGAACAATGATCACATGTACACTTATAGGCTATGTCTGTGCAATGTAGCAAAGTTGTCCATGATAGTAAGTCTAAGTATGGGTATCCTTAAGATTCCCCAGGCTCTCCAGATATGTTAAGCCACTGAGCATTTTGCCTTGTGAGCTCCAGAGAGTAGTCACCCTTTAAGGCACACAACAACCATATCTCATAGGGTCTAACTTTCATCCTGCTAACTTTCCTGGGAGTCTGAATTGTTCAAAAGTTTGCCCAAGGAAACATACCACACAAAAAAACCCCAACAAAAACAAACACTTAGAAGTGATTTTAAGCTACAAGACGTCAAACAGCACTATGCAAAGCAAATTTCAGGTCAGTGTACCATACTAATGATCTTTTTTTTTACTGTATTTGAAGTCATGAACTACTGAGTTTGAAGCATTCTCCTTTGCTTTCAGAGGAAGTCTGACAATTTTAAGTTAAACAAATTTCAAAGCCAAAGTTTACAAGGATGTTAGAAGACTTGCAGAGGTTCCCATTCTAGATGTATGACTTCAGGGAGACTACTCCCTCAGGACACATATACATCCTGTCTCAATGTCAGACTGATAACTGCAGCAAGTCATTGAACTCAGTCAAATAGGATGGGGAGTTTGCTCAAGAGATTTCACATGGAACAATTAAAAACACCATATTAAGGACATATTTTGTCTATACCTTGGTTATTTGGGAGAGAAGGCCTGCCACCAGCAGCAGCTGTCAACTTCTTTGATTCTATATAAACAAAGGCTTCAGGAAGCATCATATCTGGTGGCTGAAGAAAGCTTCCTATGAAACTGTTCTTTGATTCAGAATCCATAGCCTGTAGAGAGAGAGACATTTAATGACATTATTACTTTAACAGACTCTTTCAAAAGTATGTCAATTGGCTGTCCCTGACTCTGTTTATATCAAACCAGATCAAGAATACCAAAATAAATAAATAAGCAAACAAATAAATAAATAACAATAACAATAGTAACAACAATATCCACACCCCACCAGAAGAATCCTCTCTTTTAATGTTTTTCATAACACTAAACATAGCTTCCTTTGACCAACCAAAATTTTCCAAGATTTTTCTAGGTGCTTTCTAATAACTTATGTTGATTTTTGCCCTTTTAAAACCCAAGTATTAAGAGCATTTTCTACTAACTGTCTTACAGACTTCAATGTCTTGACTCTAAGTGCTCCCTGCAGAGCAAGCATTCCAGGTTTTACAGCCTGTTTCCATTTCCAGCCTCCTTAGTGCTCTTCTCCTCATCTTTCTGGATGTAAAACCAAATAAAATACGGTAAGTAATGTACCATTATTACATAACAAAGACACAGTTCTTCACATTTAGTGTTGAGATAACAGGAGGATATTTAATATGCAATATCCCCAGTATTATCTCCATTATTAGGCGCATGTATTAAGTCCTGTTTCTTCACTCCCTTTCCATTCCACCCTTTCACATTCTTTGTTTTATGAGAAGCACATTTGAAGACAGTTCACACTCTGTCAAATAGCAATTTCTCTTGATACTCAAGACGTGGACAGTGAAATGTGCAGAAAATGCTTTAGGCTAATACAACCTCTGCAAAGTTAAAGCAAGTTTGAAATCATCCTGCAGTTCCCTATCAAAGTAGTATCAGGCATTTCACTTGATACACTACAAGAAGTGAAGAGTCTATACAGCTTAAGCTAATAGAAAAACAGCTTATTCGAAGGTTCAACAATTATGACTGTTGTATCACTTGTGTTTAAAATACAAGGCATGCAACTGGAACAGCCTTCCTGCTTGGGTATGGCTATTTATAGATTTTAGTCCCCAAGAAAACCACCCAAAGGAGGTATCTAGTAACATGAGGAAGAAAGAGATCCAAGACTAGAGCCTGCTGATGAAGTACACCCCAGAAGAAGCCATTCATACTGGGTGGCAAACGGGAAAAAAGTTGTGAATAACAAAAATATCTTCTAGGAGCACTTGCAGCTCTTACAGCCTGTTCCAAAGGCTACAGAAATTGAATTTTTGACTAATAAAACCAAAAAAATCATCTTCCAGTCACACTGCCTCTTCAAGGTATGCACTAAAATGAAGGCAAGCAGAAATCCTTCTTTCTTACTCCAACCTGTCATCACAGAGATGTCAACATGGGCATCTCTTCACCAGGGCTTGCTTGGGGCCTCCCAACCACCACCACTTTTGTGTGCTAACACTCCCGAGCTCACACCATTTGAAGCAGCCCCTCTGGCCCCAAAGAAGGAGTCTATCCAGGCTACCCTCGAGCCACAGGTCTTTTCCAAAGACTTCTCCATGGGGCCCTGCTGCCCATCCTACTCAAAGCCAGGCCACAAGCTCTCAGCTCTGGGTTGGCAGCAGCAGCCAGCCAGGCACCCTACCATCACTTAGAAGAGGTCCCATATGGTGACCCCCCCACATTTATGGCCACTAAAGCTGTTTATGGGTCTCCCTACCTTTCTCCTGAAGGACCGGGAAAGACCATAAAGGGACCTTAACAGATGGCTAGGTCTATTGACCATGTCCAACAGCACAAGGGGCAATGGCAGTGAAAGGCACAAAGCAGAGAGCAGCAGAAACCTCAAAACATGGATGAGAAAGTCCTGTGGCCACAGAGGTGATAAGGGCCAAGACAAGAGAGGAAAAGGTCCATGCATGGCACAGTGCATCAGCACGGAGTTCCAGAAAATAAGAGATAAGCAAGACTTAAAAATTTTCCTGCTGCTATTGAATCCCTTTCCATTGGTGATGAAAAAGACTAGCATAAAAATGAATATATGCACAGGCAAGAAGTTTTCTATCACTGCTGTGGATAAAAGGCAACTTTGGAAACAGCAGAGGAAGAAGGTGGTTTTTGCTCACACCATCCAACCTTCTGGCAGTCAGTGTAAGTGGAGACTTGCTTTTCCAACATCCTCCAGTAGAACATGGCTGCCCTGCATGCTTCCACAGCTACACATCAATTACTTTCCCTATTACTGTCACATAAACAAGTTTTGCTGTTTCCAAGGAGATGGGTCTGTGGACGGCTGTACGGAGGGCAGTGATCCGAAGCAAATAATGAATAAGGGAGGGAATCAAGCAGCAGAAAATTTGAGAGTTTGTGGACAAGCTCAGTAATACACAGGTGGGGGGTGGTATGGGGTACACTTATTTGGCAGAAAGGGAAACAAAGCCCTTTTAGTTCTGCAAGTGAAACCAAAGGGAAGTGAAAGAGAAGCGGCCAGCTCACCTGCCTGGTGGTGGTGATCCAGCTAATCCGGTGTGGGCTTCAGCACAAAACCCCAAAACTTTGCCAGCACAGCAGGGGATAATAAACACCCTCCAACTGGAGGGGGGAGCTCCCCAAGCTGCTCCTAAGAGCACAGGCTCAGCAAAGGGTGTGTAAGAAAACACCACAGGATCGGGACACCTGTGTTTGCAGAAACTCTGCTGCAGACACAGTTACAGACGCCTTGCTTTACCACAGCTTCCTCAGATACAGAGACTGTGGGGGGCAGCTGAGGGCATGGTTGCTATAGTGCTTCGAGGCTGTGTCAGCATAATTACTCTGGTAGAGGTGCCCTGGTGTAGACAAGTTCTAGTATCTCAGCAGGTAAATAGAGTTTTTAGCAACCAAACTGCACAGAAGGAACGTCTACAACACTGCAGACCTCAGGCAAGGAGATGGATGCCTGGAAAAGAACCAGGTCACTCTACACCAGCAAGACATCCCTAAACATCCTGGGCACTTCCAGCCCACTGCAACAATAAATGTATCAGGAAATAATTAAGTAGTTTGACGTATGCTTGAACGTCAACTGTCTTACCACAACTTTTCCCCCCCAAGTATTTAAGATTCTATAAAACCATCACAACAAGGTTTGCTTTTTAAAAAGTCTTATACATCAAGCTTAAACCACTCTTATTCCATGGTGCCGCTGCCATGGACACCTGGTACACAGCCCTAGAGAGGTGCCTTAAAGCAGATATTGCTTCCCAAACAGCAATGTTTGTACTAATGTAACTCCACAAGGCTTAGGGGGATTTAGCACTTGGAACAACACTCATTAAAGCAGCCAGAATATCGTTGTTTGGACAAGCCCTTGGTTGAGGAAAGCAGCGCACTCCTTTGAGCTTGGACAAGAGCCAAGGGAGAAGTATGCATATTTAACAGAGGCTGACAAAATACCCCAGTTACATGCAGAGGGAAGGGGAAGAAGGAAGAAATGCCTCACTCCCACCCCAGCAGCCTACACTGCTGCGGTGAGCAGGATGAAGAACTTGTGTTGTGCAGGTCATATCTGGAGTCAACACTGGCCCTTTGGGTTTTTTAACAGGAAATGGCACAGCCTGTGCTGGTGGATGCAGTAGTGATGCTCAGATACCTGGTGTTATTTTACTCAGAAATGTACAAAGGAACCGGTTCCAACACTGGCTGCATCAAGCATGGGCTAACTTAGCTGCACCCATGGGCTTACAATGGGTCCCTTCCAACTGGGAATATTCTGTGATTAAACATCAGCCTGGGCAAGCCAGCTAGGAGGCTCAGAGTTCTGTGCCACACATTTGCAACCATGTCCATGGTGAATGATGCCAGGCATAGCACATTAGCTCTGTGACAGCACTGCTTTAATGCAAATGTTCTGCTCACCGCTTGCCTTGCTGCAGCTGGAGTGCTCAGCCCTGGGGTGTGAACATGAGAATAGCTGGTCCCTTCAGTGGTACCACTTCTGCCTCTTGGCTCACCATCACATGCAGGCTGAGAGGGAGTTTGCACAAAGTACGCTGGGGAGCAATCCCACCATCAGCTCCATGCCTGTATATGTGCCTGTACATCCATGCCTCAGGAGATAGAAAGCCAACTGGAGTTTGGTACTTTAAGATAAAGACAGAAATTCCCATTTTATCACAGTCATCTAAGTACTAATACGATTTACCTTTATACCATTTCTATTTACTTTTGCTGAATATGGTCTGCGGTAAATGCCAGATTACTGGATTGGGTTGCTGTAAAAATCAATTGACATTTTAGTTACTGCTGTCTGGCCCAAGCAAGTATACTAACAGTGGAGAATTACTGAACACAACTGAAATCCCAAGTATTACAGAAAGACCACTTATGGCTTCTTCATCATCCTCCTTCCCTCCTCTGTGTTTCTCCCCTCCAATGCAAGCCACCTCATTACAAAGTTTCAAAAACTTGTCTCCTGGAAAGTCCAGAAACATTTTGCCACACATACAATTATGTCTTATACTGTAAAGCAGCATATGGAAAAGCTTTTTCTACATGTAAACAATAGCAGACTCAGGGAATAATGCTGGCTTAACAATCTCCAAAGAGACACGCTAAATCAATAATGTGATAATGTAAGGGACACTTCCACTAAATTCTCTGATGCTTGCTATCTCATGGGGACACTGGTTCATTCAAATTGCTGTGAGGACAATCTTCTAGAACCAAAGAAGGAGATACTGTCAAAACACCTTCAAAGAGGAAAAAGAAAAAGCAGATCATAGCATTTTTCAGGAAGAAATACAAAGATATCCATCTTCTGCCCTGACCTGCTGGGCATGCACAATTTATAGCGTTTTTTTGATAACTGAAAACAATGTCTTAGATGAACCAAAGACTGATTCAGTGTTTATCTGACATAACAGAAGTTCTAAAGAACTGCCCCAACACAGGCTGTACTGAGAAGCCCCCAAAATTCTGGCTGCTGCCTTGTCTACTTGAGCCAAGCCTTGCTAGCTAAAGGTTATGCAAGAGGCCATTTTTGTGACACAATCCAAACTGGTGCATTTTTTCCCCTTTCACTTTCCTTTGAGAACTGGGAGAAAAGCTTGGTCAGCTGTACTAGCTATGCTGCAACACTCAGCTTTATTCCCAGCAGACAAAGAACAGCCCTTCCACAGAGAAGGGAGAGAGGAAAAAAAAAAGAAATAAATAATGTTGAGGGCAAACTACATTGTTGTTTTGGGAACACCCAGTCTCTAGCACCCTGACACAACCACTTTAATCAGTTTAACCTGAAACACATGACAATGCTCAGAACATATCTAAGCAGCTGATACTCCCATGCCTCTTCTAATATAAGTGGGTTAGACATGAAATGGTGGCAGCTGCAAAACTAATAGGAAGTGAAACCTCACTGAATCAATAAAGCATTTACAAGAGTTTTTGAAGTTTTGTCAAGTTACACTTTAAATAAGTTCACAGCAAATGCAAATAAAAAAATTTATTAGAAAAATTAAGGAACCTGGGAGTGTTTTGAAAAACTGAGGCAGACAAATCCAGGGGAGGCAGTTTGTTGTACAAACTGAGAGATACACATTGGCAGTCTCAGAACTGGATACATAAAGGTTAAATTTCCAGTCTCTTCTCTGATACTACTGTAGCAAATCCCATCTGTTCCTGAATATCAAGTCTTACCGAGAACTTTCATACCATCATTGTTTTTCATTCTTGGAAGAAAAGGAAAATAAGTGGCATTCTCTGTTTTCTTATGATACCATATGTACTGTCAAGTAGGATAAAACCTGGCATTTTAATTAAAAAAAAAAAACCCTGAACCACAAACAACCCAACCCAACAAATGCCCAAAACTCCTAAGACTCTTCACTGTGTCAGCATTTAATTTCTAAGCATTCACACTGATATTTCTCAACTTCCTGTTTACTAGAGAGAAAAGGAAGAAAGAAAAAAAAAAAAGGAAGAAAGAAAATGGAATGACTTACATGAGTATTTTGTGAACAAGACAAAGAAATAACCTGGTGGAGAAATAACCTACGATTTTTTAACAAATTTTTGGGGAATAGATGCTAACCTGGCAGCATATCAAGCATGCAAACTTGGGTCAAAATGTTATTAGAGTTTTTCTGTTTTCTTCAATGAGTACAGCAGACCAAATTCCTCGTCCAATTGGGCCTTCATCCAAAAGCACATGATACACTCACAATCCTTGGTGGGGAAATCTAGTTGGTGTAAATTGCTTTAACCTCTACGTGCAGATGATAACTGAACTTAGCATTTAAAGGAGCAAGACTGAAAATTCCCATCTAGTAATAATTGCTATCTTAGCATGAAAACATTTAGCCTGTAATACAGTGCTATCAAAATATTACATTTATATATCTTGAATCAGTCCAAAGTAATTAAACATAATCTTTTTTGCAATAAGCATCAAACAAAACCCAAATACTATAAAGAGTCACTAATATACTTCCTCACTTTACCCACAGTTCTCTTCCTCTTCTTTCATGTATCTTCTGTTACATTTGGAGTTTGTCCCTCATCTCCTTTCTCCCAAGAGTAACTATCAAGTTTCCTCCTTTTATACTTAAAATCCAGTTCCAAGAGATACTGTTTGCTCTTAGTATACTGGCTGATATGGAAATTTAAGGTGTTCTCCTCAGTACCCTTCATGAAGAATGTAAAAGGCTACTTTTTTGTCCACTCATTTCCTGCTGATGCCATCACACTGTCTTCCATATGTAGTTTCTTTAGTTTAGTCTGTCCTGATAGATTGGAAAGCAGGAAGGAATTTCTTTGGCTTTGGCTATAGACCCTTGGGAAAAAAAAAAAAAAAAAGAAGGTTTGCTGTTGTGTAAAGGGAAGGTTTTCAAGGGTACTGACTCCAGTATAAAAGACTTTGTCTGTGCACAGGCAGAATTAGATATTAGAAAGGCAAATGCAAAAAGGAAAAGGCATATTAGAGCAGGGCAGGGCAAATAAAAGGGTGGGTTGAAATGACAATCATAGTGAAGAAATGTAAGAAGGTGTTGCAGGTGTTGATTCATTCACAATAAACTCTTTTATTGCATGATAATTTTCACTTTTTATGTCTCAAATATCTAATGGTATCACTGAAAGATGGTTTTGAATGTTGCAACTTGCCCTCTAGGCAGATGAAACACACGGATTGTGTCCCCACTGCTGCCTTGGAATTTATTTTTAAAGTAAACTTTTGTTTTTACCAATATTTTCGGAGCAAGTGTCAGTCTCTCCATCCACAATCCTTTAACCTAGCCCTGAAGATGGAGTAAGAGGTAGATTTTAGACAGATAACTACAAAAGCTTGACATGGATAAGCAGAGAAACACAAAGAGGGTAATTATTTATAGGATTTGTCTCTTTTTACCAACTACCACACCCACATTTTTTTTGTATATACCTGTGCTACTGATAGCTAGGCACCTGGGAAGGAACAAAAACTCCATTCTGCATTTGTACGTCAGGAAGCCTAACAGAATGAGAAAAAAAACAAAACAAAGTTAGCAAGGAAAAGGAAAAGATAAGTTTCATTCCAGGCAAGAAATTATTCCCAAAATCCTATTTTTTCTGAAATAGTTGTCTTCTAATATGCAGAAAAAATAAAAGCAGATCTGAATTAGAGCAACTCCTCGATCTTATTTTGGAGACCTATTTTGTTGAAGAATGATTTTTAAAAATATCATCTGTTTATACGACTCAGAATAATCTAACATCCATGTCACACATCCTGAACAGGCACAATATTTTAGGTATTCATGCCAAATAGTTTGAATATCATATGGCATAATGAGTATTTCAACGTGCAGAAATGGTTTTATCCCTACTTCTGCCCCAAGTTGCCTGGGGAAACTTAAAACAGTCAAAGGCATTACTTGTTTCATATAATCTGTATATTTAAACTTGCATGGCTTTGGAGATACAGAAAAAACAAACGTGAGTAAGATGCTACAAAATCCCATGCAATGTTGCGGGTAGAAAACAAACTTCAATTGAACATAAAGTTTTTAATAGGCATTTCTTTCCTATTAATTATATGCAGTTTCTAAATGCAAGGAAATTTAGTGGATTTCTAGGTTCTTGACTTCAATTCTTGCTGTTCTGTGTGACCTTAATAAAATCAGAGGGTTGGGACTGGTAAGGGACTGATGTTTCAGGATACACAAGCCTTTCAGGCTCAGGGCTGAGTGTGGCAATGACAGGCTTACATTCCCTGCATGAAAAAGAAATGCAGCTATAGATCCAAAACAAGCAGCACACTCAGTGAGGAGCTAACAAGATCTTTGGTTCAGGGTGAGGAAACTCTGAACACAGCCGTCGGTGAAGTCCCACCCTGGTGCTTGGCACCTTTATCTTCTTTGGACTCAGAATCTGGAGTCCTCTTCTAGCAGCGAGTGCCAAAATCTGTTCTTTAAAACAATGAAAAAAGAGGCCCTGTAGCTTTTCTAGTCTGTGACTTCAGTTCATGTGGCTGCTGGTCACAGCATTTTTCTTTGTGTTGTTGCTGGAAAACACCAAGGTCGGTGTTAACAGCCTGCCAAAGGTGCTTAAAGGGCCTTTCAGGCTGTCAGCAGATATGAAATTCCCAATAAGCAATGTTCCTTTTCTTTTAAAGTGCAGCTGGAGGAAACAGTGTCCACCTTCTCTGTGCTGCTACCCAGTGGCCAGAGCACTGGCCAGAAAGTGGGAGTTGCTGGGGAGCATTCATGCCTCATCCCTGACCACCATGCTAGACTGGGAGGAGGAAGAGCAGGAAGGAAACAGGGAGTCACCACCTTTTTGTTTGAAGTTATGACCCTGTTCCAAAAAGTATGTAAGTCTCAAACAAGGACAAGGCAGCTGAGGCGAAAGAGTAAAACAGGGAGGTGTCTTATCTTGTTCAATCATCAAAACAGGGTCCTGGGGTTAATTTATGCATTTCTGTAGAAAATAGTTCCTGGATAAAAAAAGAGCACTGGCTTGGGAAAAGTTATCAGAAACCAGGAATAAGTGCCTACAGATCCCTGTGTCTCCTTTCTTCTAGTTCACACTAGTGCCACACATTTGCCATCCTTTCCAGTAGGGCACAAATTCAACAACTGAGGTGATGAATGCCTCCCTTCCATTTTGCAATCCTCCTGAGCACCTGGGACACTCTCCTGGTAGTTAAGAGGTGCTGATGTAAATGCCTTTGAGCTAAAAGGCAATTCTTTAATCCCTGGGTTACTGTACTGAAGGTGAGCGCTCTACCAAACTCTGCCAGGCACTGCAGCCATCTGTGGCTACAACAGAAGAACCTGACTTGTTGGGCTTGGAGAGGTTCCACTCAGCAGGACCTCTCTTACAGCTGCTCCACCTACTTCCTAGATCACAAATGGGAACAAAGGGGACACAGGTTCCAAGGTGCCCAGTTTGGGGCAATTCTGAACACTTCTACCCAAAAACAGATTAACAAAGAGTTCAGGTGGCTGCTCAGAGGAGCTTTTCAGAACTGCACTTTTAGTTTACCCATAATGTTTTCCAAGTACTCAGTGTTTCAGGACTCATTTATACAGTTGAGTGTAGTCAGAGAGTTGGCAGAATCCAGCAGGACTTCAAGTTGCCTGTAGCTCTGACCTAGCTCTAGTTCATAGCCCAACTCTTCTCAAAACACACCACTCTTCACCATGAACTATTCCACAGACTTTCTGCATGGAAGATTTGGTCTCCTAAGAAGAAGCTGGGGTCTAATTTACCCATCTCTGCTGTATTTGTGACCCCTGAGGAGGCAGGGTGCCAGGGTTTGTTTGCAAATGTACACCTGCAACACATAATACGGCAGAACCCATTAGATACACAAACATGCTCAGAAGCAAAAAAAGGCCACATCTTGTCCCATACAGAATGGTTTGGGATTGCCACCAAGCCGGAGCCTGGTTTCAAAGGCACTAGAGGAGTAGCCTCTGGCTTTTTGGTGTCTCTTTGCAGTCACAGAACTTTGTTTTCCCAGAGGGTAGCTGTGAAGAAAAAATGCATTTTACTCTGGAGTGCCAATTACTGTGGCAACATGCCAAAACACATATCTAAAAAGGGAGGGTGAACTTTTTGAAGAGTCATCCCATTCTAGGTATTTAGCAATTGGAATGAAGTAAGCCTTAACAAAATCAGGTGTAAAGGAAAACAGTTGAAGGAAAGTAATTTAAAAAGAAGTTCCTTCTAGACTGCACAAGTTTTACTGTGTTATTATTATTTCTCCAGTATTTGACTAAATATATTCTGGAGTAAAGTGCTCTTTTGTGACTTATAGAAACTTGAATGAACTTTTAAAAGTAAATATAATAGATTTTTGATCTTATATCTTAGAAGGGACATGAATACAATTACTAGATATTGTATTCAAAAATAATTCTGCTGTTGGATGTCATCTTCATACAGCTAGACAAGCTCTTATCTAGTTAAAAAAAAAGGAAGTTGATAAATCATGAAGGAAGGAAATACTGAGGTTTAAAACAGCCACAAATTTGTTTTTCTTCAGCTTATCATTTTGAAAACTCAACTGCTGTAATTCTGTATGAGTTGCCAGATTGTTTCCTTCATAATTGTGCCTCTCTCTTATCCATTCTTTAGGGATCAAAAACAAGCATATTAACTTCAGTCAGTGAACATGCAAATCAAACAAACACATTCCCCTAACTTTGGGCTCTGATTAATTCCACTGGTAGCCTTTGACCTTGATTTCCACAATGTCTTGCAGTGCATAAAGAAGCTTGACCTGGTATCAGAAAACTGCAGAGATTTGGTTTGGAAAAAAAATAAAGCCATCCTCATCACTATTCCCCAAGTACTACATTAAAATCTATAAAACAAAGGGCTGAAATCTGAAGTTTAGGCCTTGGAGCCAGTTTCACAATCTGTTTCCTGTAGCCAGAGTTCATTTGGAGCCAGTGGAAAAAACAGCTTCTAAAAGATAAAAGGCAGTGCTGTGACTTTCAATCAATCTTGGCATTCAGTGTGTGAATATAGCTGTACCAAAGTCTAAAACACCAAAGTTGCAGTTCTGATTCTGGTTCATTCTGATCTTAGATGTAGTCATTGTCAGAGACACCCAGCATCTCATGATGGGAAAAATAAGATCTAGCCAACTTCTGGAGATCAAAATTTAGATAGAAATAAAGCAAACAGATGTGACATGCCCATTCACAGGAAAATGGGAGACCATAATGAGTGACAACAGAATGGGATGGGAAGCTGAAGTGGCAGTTAAAGTAAAAACAAAACAAACAAAAACCCCTCCAACAACATAAAAGGCACTGGCAGAACTATTTTCTTTGAACCCATCAGTTATGGTGGGTGGAGGCCTCAAGTACTTAGAGAAGTCAAGACTCATATTTATTACAGGTAGTGCTGATTTCAGCAGATACATTGTTCACAAGGGTGCCAAAGGCCTGGAGGAAGCAGCTGTGTGAAGCAGTCCAGGCCTGTCCACCCTACTGAACAATGGCAGTGCAGCCTCCTTGCAGAAAGGACTTTATGGGAAAAAAAGAGACTGGTCTTCCTTCAAAGGTACAGGTAAATGCAAGTTCTAAAGCAGCAGTCCTAGAAAAAGGGATGTCAGATGAAGAAATCAGATTCTTTACAAATAAGAGATCTGTTGATGGATGGTGTTGGTGAGCCAGCCCAGACTATTCCAAGACTCAGAAGTTGTTTCTGTGTCTTTCTGTGGCATAAGAATAGCTTGTTCTGCATTTATCTCCAGTTTTGACATCTGAATTTTAGAGTGGGAAATGTGTATGTGAGAAGCTAAAAATAATTATGCAAAACCCTTTGTAGGCCCAGTGTCCTGTTTCTAATTTACTCCCAAGTATTCTTTTGCCTTTCTGTATACTCAAAATTGCAATTTCATGATTGCTTCAATGTGACAGCTGCAAACAGTTCTGCCCTTGTTTTCTTCTCCTCTTCTCTGCCAAGAGGTGAAGTAGATCAAGGAACTGACTAGGCTGAAAATTAAAAATTTATCATAAACAGCACCCTTTTTATTTTTTTTTTCCTTCCCCTGCAGGAAAAGCAAGGGAAACAGCGATACCAGCCTCTTTAGTGGCAGACTACACTTAATCACAGAACGGCTGAGCTCGGCAGGGACCTCTGGAGACCATCTGGTCCAGCCCCCACCAGCCAAGCAGGGCCACCCAGAGAGAGCCACCCAGCCTGCCCCGTGTCCAGGCAGCTTCCGAATATTCCCGAGGACAGCAACTCCACAACCTCCCTGGGCAACCAGCGCCAGCGCTTGGACACCCTTACAGTAAAAAACCTGCTTCCTGATTTCCAGAGGGAACCTCCTATGTTCCGAGTCCCTTGCCTCTGATACCGCCATCGGGCACCTGCGAGAACACCCTGGCTCCATCCTCACTGCACCTTCCCTCGAGGCACATATAGAAGTCCGGACATATACAAGGGTGAGATTCCCCCCCGAGCCTTCTCTTCTCCAGGTTCATCAGCCCCTGCACAATCCCCTGCCCTTAACTTGGATGAAAACACCGCGGAACTGCTGCTCCATGCGAGCAACAATTCCAGGGATTTTCCCCCCGCCGCAGTCCCTCCTCTCTCCCGAGCGGTGACGGGGCCCACGTCCCAAGGGCCGACAGTTCTTCCCTTCCCCCTGCCGCGCGTACTTAAGGACACATCCCAGGCTCCGCCTCTGACACGCCTTCGCGGTCCTTGAAACACGTGCGTGCCTAAATGCTTGCCGGTGCAAAGCTCTGAGGCAAACCTGCTACGGAGACTGCTTCACCCCCGGCTGCCGCCACCCATCGGCACCCATAACCTGCTGCGATAGAGCGCAAACCCCCCCAAAACCCTGCCGAACAGGATGACGGCAATACCGTGCGCGCATCCCGCGGCGAACGCTCTCCCTTCCCCTTCCCCCGCGGGATCCTGGCCGTGCGCCGCGCTGCCTTTCGGGATACGTAGTTTTCTCCCGCGAGGGCCATTGGCCCGCCCTTTGGCCGGACTACATATCCCGGCAGCCCCTCTAGCACAGCCGCTCCCCACTGCGATTGGGCCCCCTGTTTGCGAGCGCTGAAAGACGATTGGCTGACCTGCGTGTCTGTCATGCGGGCTTCCCGTGCTGGGCGGGGCGATCTCCCCCCAACCCCGAGCGAGGGGACTGCCGGGGGTCGGTGGCGGTCCCGGCGGGGAGGGCTGAGGAGCCGCCCCGGGAGAGGCAGGGNAGAGCATCGCCTCCGGGGCGGCCGCCGACGGGCTGCCGGTGCCCGCCGCCCGCGACGGGCTGGGCGAGGCGCTGGCCCGCCTGCTCATGCTGTCCCGGAGGTGCCCCTTCCCCGACGTGAGGGAGAAGAGCGAGGCGATCCTCAGCGGGGTGCAGGTGAGCGCGGCACACCACCCCTTTCGGCTTTGGGACCGGGCCGGGGGCTCTCCCGTCCCACACAGGGCACCTTCGGGTTTCATCGGTGCGACGAGGTGGGCGTCTGATCCACCCTGTCAGATTTATTCCTGCAATTAATTCGTGCTAAGTGCTCTCCACCCCTTCGGCTCTCTCCCCCAAGAAACATTTGGAAAAGTGTTATTAAAAGGCGGGGGTGGGGAAATCTCGCTGGAGACACTTAGAAAACACCTGGATGCGTTCCTGTGTCGCCTGCTCTAGGTGACCCTGATTTGGCAGTGAGGTTGGACTGGATGATGTCCAGAGGTCCCTTCCAACCCTAACTATTCTGTGAAAAAGCACAAAGTCTTTCAGTGCAATCCAGCAGAGAGGATTTGGCAATGAATGGCTGGAAAGTTGGGGCATCCCCAAGGAAGCACTAAAATCACAACTTTAACACTCTAGTTTCAGTCTGTATGAGCAGTGCTGTGGTATTACCCGGGTAGCTTTAACAGAAAAGCAGGAAGGATTTGGGTATTAACATTAGTGTTGCCAGTTGAAAATATAAATGGGAAGTTTTGGAGATTTTCGAAGCCGTGTGAGCTTGTTAAGGCAGAGCCAGTCAGAATGCCCTTGTTTATTGGTAAATAGTTTGTCTGCTGGCACCGATTGGATCCAAACTATTTTTTTTTTTTCAAAGCTCATAGGCAGCTCGGCCAATAGAGGGTTACATTTACTGACCTAATGCTAACAAAAATAAATGTTACTTTGTACTCTTGCAGTCTAATTATAGTTACTTGCATTGCGATTGTCTTGCTCACCTCAGGTTTTTGTGCAGGTCTTGGAATTCTTGTGTCAACGGGCCCATCAGCACTGCTAAAAATACTACTTTTAGCTGCAGAGTAGGAAAAGGAAATTTGAATATTTCTTTTGATCACAAGTGAATACCTAGAGCTGTGCTTGGAGATAGCTGTCTGATTCTCACTACTGTGCTTGTTCTCCTGAACTTTAACAGGTTGCATGTAGGGAAATCCAGGGAAACATAATAGTAATGCATGAAAGTATTATAGATATAATAATTTATACATTATACACATAAATATGCATAACATAAAAAGCATTATATGTTATACCTATAGAAACACATTTTGGGCTTGGGTTATTTGAGCTGAAAGAGTCTCTGTTTATTTTGTCTAACTTCTCGGTAGTGTGCAGTGTGATAAATACAGTGTGACTTATTTTATCCAGTTTAGGTTAAAGGAGTGCATGTGGAGTTTTTCTCAAAGCTGATACTTTCACATGGTCTAAGTGAAAAGCTTGATAGCTTTTCTTTAAAAACCAAAGCCAGTGAAACAAGCAACCACCCCAGACTTGAATATTGAGTTGAAAACTTAATCTGGCATCTTCCCTCCTAAAGGCTCATATGAGAAGTGAGGCTGTTACTGGTGAGAATGATAAGTTACTGCAACTAAGGCTGCTAAGGGAAGATTTGTTTTTGTCAGGTTCAACATGTCAGTCTATTCAAAGGCCAAACACATGGTGATCTCTCACCTAAATTCTGGGAGGAGGTCAGAATAGAGGACTGGATGACTCCGTTTTAGGTTTTTATGTATTTGAGGTTAATGGCTTGTTCAGCTATTAGTGTGGTTTAGAAACTTTGTTACTAGCTTTTCTTTTAACTAGGCCAAAAAGTTCTGTCAGTAAATGTCCATCTTCACACAGCAGATGAAGTTCAAATACCATGGTCATTGGTGGTGTGATTAATAAACATAGTTGTGAAAGGTTTAGTAGCTGTGAAACGAGTTGTATGTACTCAAGGTGCAGTAAAAGTTTACCAGCAAGTTAAACAAGATAAAATCAAATATAACATTATTTTAAGAAAATTTTTAAAAAGCTGCTTTTGTAAATTTTCCTTTTCAGGAGCATAGATCTAAGACAGCAGTATTCTGTATTTTATGAATTTAGAGTGGCAAATCTTAGTTCTTGTGTCTGTACTCATAAATGAAAATTTTCATTGTAATCTTTGGATCTGCATTTGTTGGAGAAATAATCCAGTGCAAGTATTCTTTTTTGGATGCTGAGGACTATTGTCAGGCATGAAATGTTTTTTTGTTGATTAATGACCAAGAATAATATTGTTCAGATCTCTGCAGTGGAGATGGCAGATAAAACAAACTGTTAAATGAAATATTATCACCCCACAGAACTTGTGGCTTTCAGCAGTGCTTCCAAAGGTAAATAGCTTAGTAACATAAAAATGTGAAATCCCATTTAGAACAGCATCAGCACTTGTATTACTTTATCCCTCTGTTTTGGGATCTGAAACAATACTAAAGTCCACAGCAATATGTACAATTATGCTGTCTAAAGTCATTAAATGACATAGATCCCAGAAGTTCTCCTGTGAACTGGGGCTCCCCTCATCCTCCTGTGGACTGGTCCATTCCAGACTAGAAGTCTGAGCCTGGACTCATATATTTCTTTTTATCCCTTCCCACCCCAGCTGCCTCAATATGTGGAACTCTAAAATATGCTTTATTCATCTTTCAGATTTGCTTCCAGCATAAATCAGTGAAGAAATCAAAGATTAGAATTTTCCATGTGGTCTGATTGCTGTTTTTTTCTTTGAGTTAGTGTCCTCTTGTCTGCTGGGGCAGTCAGCAAATATTTAGTCATGAGCAACTGGTGCTCCTGGTGAATTTGCAGCTTTGTGTCTGGAGCAGGTTGGTAGAATGCATTGTATGGCTGGTGTAAGCTTCAGGATTGGCAGCAGCCTATATCAGAGTGGCATCCCTCTGAGCCTGCCTTTGTTATGTTTTGGGGTTTTTTACCTCCCCCCGGATAAAAATTCCTCTGATACAAGGTGGAATGCTAAGTGTGCAGCTTTGTTCTTTGCTATTAATAAATAGCATTATTATTATTAATACATTATTTATTATTAATAAATAATATTGCATGTATCAGAATCTGTAGAATTTTAATTATTTTTTTACATAAATTCCTATTGATTCGACAATAATATTGCATGTATCAGAATCTGTAGAATTTTAATTATTTTTTTACATAAATTCCTATTGATTCGACTTATGCTCAGGTAATGAGTTTTCTCATTGGAGGCTATATATATTTATATATAATAACATATACTTTTTTACCTGAGAGAATATACCTATTTTCCAATTTAGGTTAGACAAGTTGTTTTTGTAAGTGTTATTATACAGTGTCAGCAAACTAGTTCCCTTTTTTTAATTTTTGCTTTTATTAATAAAATGAAGTTCCTATAACCATTTTTACCTCAATAGATAATTTAAAAAATATTTTAAAGATATTTCAGTTGCAATGCTTTAATCAAGTGAAAGCAGTTTCAATGTTAGCATTTTGAAATGTTGGTGAATAGTTTTTGAGGTAAAACCCCCAATATCTATCACAGGTTCTAGATAAATTCTTGCTCATGGGGTATTTTACACGTATTTATAGCATAGTGCCTATGACCTTGTAGAAGAGTGCGTCATTCCTCTCAGTGTGCTGGGTGTCTGCACACCAACACAAATATATTGGGAAAGAACAGCAGTGGAATGTCTCAACACATGCTCATTCAAAGTCTTCTGCCAGCCTCATTTGGATCAATCAGATATGTATGAGTGGAATATAAATACAAGGTGTCTGTCCATAACTGGAGAAGAATCACTGAAAGGATGAGATTTGATAATTAAAATCTCTTGTAACCATTTGGTGGAGAAAACTCAGCAGAACATACTGCTCTCCATGCATATGTAAATTCATTTTCTTCATAAACAAAGAGAATGCATAGATGGAGGGCAGGTTCTGCAGGTGCAACAAGATTCTAGTCTACATAGGATAAAAGATGACAACAGCAGAATAAAACCCGTAAGTGTCAAAAAGCATAGAATTTGGCACTCTGAGCTTGATTGGGGGCAAATATAAGGGAGAAAGAAACAATCTCAGCCTCTTGGAGAAGTAGTCTAATGATACCAAACACCTGTGTTTGAGGGGAAAATTAATAATGTGAAAAGAACTTTGCTCTCTGTTCATCTTTCCATTGATGTAAACTAAAGGAACATATAGAAAGTGCACAAAGATGTATGAATAAAGCTAGGATGGTCAAAAACATAAGGAGGCATAGCTAAAATGCATATTGGAAGAAAGCGAAAAATAAAAAAACCTCACAGATTAGTGGATTAACAGATAATGCTGAGGTGATTGAAATGTTTTCTGAAACGGTTAATCCGGCCTGTGTAGTCAATAGCATGATAAAAGCATAAATAGTACCTTCCTAGGCTGGAGGGTAGGCGGAAAACCTGTAGGTTGCTTGGATAAGCAGTAGATTTTCAATCTGGTAGGACCTGATGAAATTAATTCCAGGGTGCTTAAAAAAGCAACTAGTTGAAGCAATCTCATGTAGTGGATTGCAATTTCAAGATAGTGGAGGGAAGTAGCAGGCTGAGATTGATTGGTTCATACCTCTTCAGTATGGGCTAAATGAGATGGGATAAAGAGGAAGCTGATGGATTTTAACTGTAGCTCAAAGAAAAAATACTGGACCAGTGTTGGAA